AGCCCTAAATCTGTGATATGGCCAAGTTAATTCATATTAAGGGATATTTGCATTTTTAACAGGTAGGAACCTGTTAAAATGCAAGGGAATACATCTCTAAGGGTAGAATTTCAGGCAACATGATGGAGGTACTTGAGGTTATTACCTTCCCTACCTCTTCCACTCAGTCTCCTCATCTGGGAAAGGGGAAGGCTGGATTGTCTGAGTATATATTTATTTCCCCCAATATAATGCAGACTCCTTGAGGATAGAACCAGATTTTTCTCTTGGCTTGGTAACTCCAGAGACTAGCATACTGCCTGGCACACAGTAAATGATTAATGAATGCTTATTGTTTGATTAACTAGATGACTCCCAAGGTCCCTTGAAGTCCTAACACTTATGACCTTAGACAGCCCAGCACTTCTCAGTACCTTCCACAAAGGATCAGAGATTTTGGTAACAGAGTAATAGTTCATATTTTAAAATTTCTATCACTGTCCAGTAGACCTGGAAGGTCAGGTAGTGCGACAATGCTCAAGAAATAAAACTTGCAGTCCTTTCTTGGCTTTAGAATTGGCAAGAGTCCAACACAACAGGTTCACAGCCATCACATCAAGGAGTTCTGGATGAGCACAAAGCTGAGCAATCTCCTCTCCCAAATGCTGCCTGTTTAGGATGCAAGTGGAGGCTAATTAAGGCAGAAGGGCTTCAACTCCAGAAACACACCAGCCTACCTACTGACTTTCTCCCACAAGGGCCGTCAGCAGAATTCACCCCACCCAGCACAAACCTCCAAGGAATCAGTGAGAGCTTTTGAGAAAGCACCATATTGGGAGCCAGAAAAACTGGCCTCAAGTCCTGCCTTTGACATTAATTAGCTGTGGGACCTTGGACAAGTCCCTTCCCTTTCCTTGGCATTGGTTTTTCCTCCTTCACGAATTAAAAGTATTTGATCAAGGTCAGTGAGTCAAGAAGCATTAAATGCTTATTATGTGCAGGCATTGTGCTAAGTTCTTAGGACACAAATAAATGCAAAACTACCCCATACCTTCAAAGAACTCACATTCTAATGAGCGAGAGAACAAGGAAATAACTAGGTACATTCAAGAGATGTGGATGTGGATGTATGTATGTATATATGCATGTGTATATATCATATGTAGATCTATATATCATATGTATACCTATAGATAGATACAGATATAGAGTTTAAATGGAAGGAAATCTCTGAGGGAAAAGTATTAACTATTAATTGAGGGTCCTGAGAAAGGACCTTTCTGCGTCCTGCAGAAAGTCGGATTACAGTTGAGTCTTGAAGGAAGCCTGCAAAGCTAAGAGATAGAGGTGAAGGATCAAACATATTCTAGGTATGAGGGACAGTCATTGCAAAAGTATAGAGATTAGAGATGAAGAATTGGGTGTGAAGATCAGCCAATGAATCTCTGTATTTTATAGAGTTTATATTTGACTGGAGAATTAATTAAGAACCACTGGAGTTTCCTGAGTAGATGGCCTGGCAGACTTACACTTTAGGAACATCTCTTTGGCAGCTGAGGGGAGGATGGATTGGGGCGTAGCAAGACTTGACTCAGGCTGGGGATCCAATGAGAAGCCTACTGCACTATTCCTTATGAGAGATGATGAGGGCTTGTCCTAGCTCTCTTCCAGCTGAAACACTCTACAAACCTATATAGTTCAGAAGGCAGAAAGCTTTTCGGAGACACTTTGGTTTGAGGAAGAAGACCCACCTCCTTTGGACTGTGGCCTTCTGAAGGTTCTTAGGATACTCTGTGCTTGAAAGGCAGCCCGGGCCTTTCATTCCTCCACCTTCTCCAAGTCACTGGGCACGGCCCTGCCTCCCATAGCCTCCTGTTACACACCAGTGAGGCCCATATTTCTTGGTAATTAGGCTTCCTGAAGATGTCTGGGCTTTGGTCAAAGAGTCATTCACACGCTCAGCCCAAAGCTACTATATCCTCATCTGTTTCTGTACTGGACAGAAACTTGAATAAAAATCTGAAACCAGTTCTGGACTCTACCACTTCAGAGGAATGTAGGAAATTTGAAGAGGGGCCAAGGGGAAGAAGGAGAATGAAGAAAGTTTTCAGAGATCATTCTTACAGGAAAAGATGAAGGGAAGTAGGCTGTGGTTTTGTTTCATTGAATGCATCATCTCATGGGTGGGTGACGGGTTTTATCTGTGGAGGGGAAGGCCAGGGGCCCATCTTTAGATCAGTGAAAGTATATTAAGTAGAGTTTGACTATTGGATGCCTTTCCATTTCTCCCTACATCAACCGAAAAACTACACTAGGAGTTTAAGGTACACACATTTCTGTCTCCCTCCACCAGGGAATCAACCCATCCATTCGTCAACAAGCATTTATTAAGCACCTACTATGTGCTAGTACTGTGCTGGGCACAGGGCTACAAAGACAAAAGTGAAACAGTCCCTGCCCTCAGGAAGCTTACATTCTAAAAAGGGAGACAACAAGTATAGATATCAGTACAGACAGAATATAACAAATAGCTAATATTTAAGGTTTGCGAAGCACTTTACATAGATGATCTCATTTTATCCTCACAACAATGAGTAAGTGCTATTATTTTTCCCATTTTACAGATGAGGAAACTGAAGTTGAGAGACAAAGTGACTTGCCCATGGTCACACCTCTAGGAAAGGGCTGAGGGCAGGGTTTGAACTCAGGCCTTTCTGACTCCTATTCCTGGAATCTATCTACTGTGCCAGCTAGTTGTCACATATAATAAATACAAAGTGATTTGGGGAGGGAGCTACTCAACTGAGGACAGAGTCTGTTTTTTCCTTCTTCCTTCGCTTTGGGCTGAGCATGTGAATGACTCAGTATTGCTACTGCTGCTGCTGCTGCTGCTTCTCCTCCAGACAGCCCCTTCCTCTTTTCAACAGCTATAGTTGCTTGGAAGTTTTTCTTTACATTGAGACTGAATCTATCTCACTGCAATTTCTACCCATGTTCTTAACTCTACTCTCAGGAAACAAGAAAAATCTAGTCCCCCATTCCACATGACAGATCTTAAAATACTTGAAGATAAATGATACACCCCATTGCCCATCCTCTCCAGTCCCCTTAAGTCTTTTTTTTTACATGTTGTTTTCCCCAGTAGACATTAAGCTTTATGAGGGCAGGGATTATATTAGCTGAGCTTACTCTGTTGCTATTTGCTGAGAAGTGTACCATAGCACTATGTAATCTAATGTTCTGTCATTCCTTCAATAGCTTCTTATTTCCTACCACATCCAGTCTAAAGTTCTTTATCTGGCTTTTAAGGTCACCCATAATCTGGCCCCACACCACCTATCCAACCAGCCTTCCCTTAACTCTGTCAAGACTGGCTGTGTTACTCTCCTTCCAATATTCCCCTTTCCTTCCTACCTCAGAACCTAAGGTTACTTGCCCTGCACAATATGTCCTTCCTGGCTAACCTCCAAGGTCCACCTCAAAGTCTAGAGTCACAGAATCTCAGGTGCAGAGAAGGACTTCAGAAGGTCCCTAGTCCAAGGCAAACTTGAATCAAAATCCTATCTGACAAGTGGTCATACAGTGTCTACCTCCTCCATCAAATTCCAGCCCGTAAAGACTTCCCTCCTTGGGTCAGCGTTGTAGAGAGAGACAATTGAATTGGGAGCCTGGGGGGTTGGATTTGGATTCCAACTCTGGTATCTATTTATTATGTGACCTTGGGCAAGTCTGAATTTCCATTTTACCGGCCATAAAATAAAAGGGTTTGGCTAAGGCAACCTCTAAGATTCCTTTGAGCTTTACAACCTATAACTCTTGAACTCAGCACTCTAAGTGAGATAATCATTGTACAGCACTAGCATAGTTCCTGGCACATAGTAGGAGTTTTATAAATCTTTATTTCTTTCCCTTCCCTTAACTCACTCGATGGGTCTTAATGTATGTGAATCTTTGTCTTCTTTCCCCATCTCAACTGTAAGCTCCCTGAGGACAGCATCTTGTACCCCTTTGTATTTCCCATAGCACTCAGTACAGTGCTATATACACATGATGGTCGATACAGTAGGGCAGAACAATCATTCAATTAGCAAGTATTTATTTTGTGCCATGTGGCAGTCACTGGGTCAGGTACTGGGGACACATTAGCATGTGAGGTCCTTGAGACCAGAGGCCGCCTTTTGCCTTCTTTGTATCTTCTTTGCTTAGCATAGTGCCTGGCACACAGTAAGTGCTTAATAAATGCTCCTTGCCTAGCTGACTTATCTCCACACCTCCCCTTCTTAGTTTTTCTGGCTTCCTTCCAAATTCAGCCCAAAGCCCACCTTCTTCAGGAAGTCTTTCCTGGATGTCTTTCCTTCTGACATAATCATCCATCTAATCTGAATATATCTCCTGTACCTAGTTATTTACAGGTAGTCTACTCTATTAGAATGTGAGATACCTGAGGGCAGGAACTGTTTTTTTTTAAACTTTCTTTGGGTCCTTAGTCCAGTGCCTATTACTTGTTAAGTAAATGCTTAGTGAATGAATGTTTGTTTACTGACTAATGAACACGTGGAGTTTAGGATAAGGATTGGGTTTGAGATTTCATTGACATGGGGAACTCCCAGGTGAAGAAACTGCTTCTGTGAATGCAGACTAGTACTTTCATTGAAATATAGTCTTAAAGAGACCTCATCTGTAAGTCATTTTATAGATGAACAAACTAAAGTCTGAGGAGGGGAACTCTTTGTCTAAGGCCACAAGAATATTAAGTACCAGAGCCGAGATATGAACCTAACAAATTCACTACTCTTTGTCAGCCTGCTGTGATCCAGGACAGCAGGGTCACCAAAGGAAAGTTCAGAGATGGCTGCTAAGCGCTGAGCTCCCATGTCCCATAGAGGTAGGGAAGACTCCAGCCTGGCCTTCTGCTGGGAGGTTTTTCTTGGTGCTCACAGAACTTGCTGGGATAAAGAGGAAGAACATGACTCCTATTTGACCTCTGCAAACAGCCGGGTGCCTGAAGTGCTGGCCCTTACCTTCCCTGTGGATTTGGTCCCCTTCCAAATGCAGAAATAGCAAATGGTCCAGGCAGCGAGGAGGCACAGGGCCAGCTCCCAGCGGAGGTCACCAATGTGTTCGATCCCATCAGAGATGGCGAGGACTCTGCGCCTGTGAAGAGTCAGGGACTGTGAGATAGCAGGGCAGCCTCTAACCTACCCCCTACTTTTCTATAATCACCACCTCCAAAGACCCCTTGGAAAAACCCAGTGATGCAGAGATCCAGGGTGCCATTTGGCTTGGGTATCAGGCTCTGAGGGGCAAAGAGATGCTGGGTGGATAACCCCTCTGAACAATTAGTGTACAAAAAAACTCAGCAGCTTTTCTATACACCTAGCTCACTTGTTGGGCTCCTTTGGAGAAAGGTGACTCTTGTCATATGACCCCAAAAAAGAAGACCACCAGCTTGTTCTCCTTTCTCTGCCCCCCTCAAAGCCTGAGGTCTTTGTTTCATTTAAGGAAAACACACCACACTCCAAATTGTGCCAGAGAAATAACACCAAATGGCTGCTTGTCTGAGAAACAAATCCCCTCCCCTCCAGATTTGCTCCATGAGCCCCATTCAGAGTGCCAAGCCCGTCCCCAAAATTGTGTCAATCAGCACTGGACTGGGGGAACCTCCTTTGAGAAAGCTGAGTCTGGGCTTAGCTGGAAAGTCTCATTCGGTGTCTGTCTCCCTGGGAGTCAGATCCTGGCCTCATTCTGTATTAATTATTTAATGATTCCAATTAATGTTGGTCTGCCAGCCCCTTCCCCACCCCCAGCCCCTAGCCCAGAGACATCAGGCCAGTCTTAGCCCTAAAACAAAATTTGACCATGTGCGATTAGGTTAAAAACAAAAACAAAAACAACTTCAACCATCCCCTTTATCCCTGTCTCCAGTTCTAGTCCTGACTCCCAGGTTCCTGTACCTTCTGGCTATGAGACCTATACTCACTGAGAAGAAGAGCTGGACAGAAAGAAAAAGAAAAAAAAGCCTTGTACTTAAGTGAAAGTAAAGGGATATAGCGACTTGAATGGGATGACCTTGAGCCAGATGATTTTTTATTGAGCTCAGGAAAGGCAACGGAAGTAGCACCAAAACTCTGGTTCTGGGTTCAAATCCTGATTCTGTAATTTACTGTGTGAACATGGCTAAGCCAATTCACTTTTCTGGTCTTCAGTGTCCTTTAAGGTCTCTCAGGTCCCTTCCAGTTCTGGAGCTTCAGAATTACAATCTTAACTTAATTATTAGATGGTCCTTGGTACCAGAAATAATCTATTTGGGGAATAAAATAAACTATAGTTCCTATTTGTTTTTGCTTACTCTGTTCCCTATGTCTATTTCTGGAATGATCTCCTTTCCCTGAGCCCCACCACATTGCAATCCAATTTCTCCTGTTAAGATTCTGCTCGTTTTTTTTAATTAATTTATTTTGATTTATCAACAATCACTTCTATAAGTTTTTTTTTTTTCCGATGAGGCAATCAAGGTTAAGTGACTTGCCCAGAGTCACACAGCTAGTAAATGTCAAATGTCTGAGGCCAGATTTGAACTCAGGTCTTCCTGACTCCAAGGCTGGAGCTCTATCCATTGTGCCAACTAGCTGCCCCCATAAGCTTTTGAGTTTTAAATTTTTTCCCCCTCCCTTCCCACCTCCTTTCCCAAAACTGTGAGTAATCTGATATAGGCTACACATAGACATTTCTATTAAACATATTTTCGCATTAGTGATATTGTAAGTAAGAATTAGAACCAATAGTAGGAACCACCAGAAAGAGGAAACAAAACACAACAGAAGGAAAAAATAGCAAATAGTATGCTTCAATCTGCATTCAAACTCCATAGTTCTGTCTTTGGATGTGGATAGCATTTCCCATCATGAGTCTCTTGGAGATGTCTTAGGTCCTTGCATTGCTGAGAAGGGCTAAGTCTATCAAAGTTAGTCATCGTACAATGTGGTTGTTATTGTGTACAACGTTCTCTTAGTTCTGCTCACTTCACTCAGCATCAGACCACACAAGTCTTTCCAGGTTTTTCTGAAGTCTGCCTGTTCATCCTTTCTTATAGTACAATAGCATTCCATTACATTCATATACCACAACTTGTTCAGCCATTCCCCAACTGATGGGCATCCCCTCAATTTCCAATTCTTTGCCACCACAGAAAGAGCTGCTATAAATATTTTTGTACATGTGGGTCCTTTTCCCATTTGTATGATCTCTTTGGGATATAGCCCTAGAAGTGCTATTCCTGGGTCAAAGAGTATGCACATTTTTATAGCCCTATGAGCATAGTTCCAAATTGCTCTCCAAAATGGTTAGATTACTTCACAACTTGACCAACAACGCATTAGTGTTCCAATTTTCCCACATCTTCTCCAACATTTATCATTTTCCTGTTTTGTCATCTTGGCCAATCTGATAGGTGATTCCGCTCATTCTTCAAAACTCAGTTATGATGCCAGCTCCTCCAAGAAGCCTTCCCAGATTCTCCCAGTTAGAAGAGCTCTTCCTTCCCCCCAATCACACAGCATTACATTTGCAATTCCCTTTCTTATAGCTTATCATGCCTTATTTTTTCATGATTTTTAGTATAGTTATTTGTCCTTCCTATCTCTTTTACTAGATTACATGCTTCTTTATTCACTAAGCATTTATTAAATGCCTGCTGTATGCCAGGTTGAAGGCAGGGTGGTGTAATGTCTAAAGAGCTTCTGAACACCTGAGATCAAGTCCTTCCCCTGTCACAGACTTGCTGTGTGATGCTGAGTAAGTCACTTAACTTCTCAGAACTCTAGACAAATCTCTAAGACTAGAAGATGCAGAGAAAGTACCCATGTACACTGGTAGAAGGATTTTCCTCACCTGGGAGTTCCCAATATCAATAAAATCCCAAGTCCAGTACCTGTCCCTTGTGCCCTCCCCATGTGCCAGGTACTATGTTAGCCGCTGGAGATGGAGGACAAAAACAAAATAGCTCTTTCCTTCTAGGCTGGGAGCTCACATTTTATTGGGAGATTTGGAACTGGAAGAGTACCTAGAAACCATCTAGCCCAGCCCCTTCATTTTACAAATGAAGACAGTGAATCCCAGGGGGTTATTTGACTTTCCCAAGGTTATATAGATAGCGAATATCAGAGGCAGGATTTAAACCCAGGTCCTCCTGGTCCTCTGCCAACGCTTTCACCACTCTACCATATATAGACATTTAAGCATACAAAATTTGCATTCAGAAAATACAGGATAATTTCTGGGGGTGGCATTTGGGGAGAAGGTGATCAGGAAAGGCTTTTTATGGGAAGTGGGACTTGAGCTGAGCTTTGATGGAATGAGGGATTCCAAGAAGCAGAGATGAGGCAAAGGGGCGCACTGCAGACATAGAGGATGGTCTGAGCAAAGACAAGGAGACATTTGGGCTGCCCCATAGAATGCATGTAAGAGAGCACCATTCTTGAGGTCAGGAATGGTGTTTTATTTAATAATTCCATCTCTCTCGGCTCTAGCAGAATGCTCTGAACATAGGAGTTACTTAGTCAAAGGCTACTGAATGCAACCTAGAGGATAAAAAAGGGCAGTTAGATGGAGTGGTAGGTAGAGCAAAAGACTCATCTTCCTGAGTTCAAATCTGGCCTCAGACACTCACTGCCTGTGTGACTATGGGCAAGTCACTCTACACTGGTTGCCTCAGTTTCCTCATCTGGAAAATGAGCTGGAGATGGAAATGACAAACTACTCCAGTGTCTTTGCCAAGAAAACCCCAAATGGGGTGACAAAGAGTCAGACATGACTATGAAATGACTGAACAACAACAGCTGAAAATAAGAACAATTGCTTGTGAATTTTCAAGAAAAGGTGACTCTAGTTTCATAAGAGCTAGAAAGTGTAAGGTGCCTTTCCCCTGAATGACCTTATAGCTATCATATGCTATTTCTTTCTATCTATTCATTTATCTATCCATTCATGCATCCATCTATCCGTCCATCAATCTGTCCATCTCTCTCTCTCTTTCTCTCTTTCTCTTTCTCTCTCTCTCTTTCTCCCCCTCTTTCTGTATATATACATACGTATACATATACACATATACATATATATGTATGTATACACACACACACACACACACACACACACATACATGCTTTTAAATGCACAAGTTGTCTCTCCCGGGTAGATTATAAGGTTTTCACAGGCAAGGACTATTTTGTACCTCCACCTCTAGTATGGTGCCTGACAAACAGCAGATAGCTTAATGAATGCATGTTGACTGCTTAACTGAATCTCCCTGCAAGGCTGAAGGAATGATTCTGCTTCCCTCATTCCCCCACTTCCCTGCACAGTCTTTCATTGTGAACGAAGTTCACTTCTTTTCCCACATGCCCTTCATCAATCATCCCTTGTTGACTGTCCACCTCCCAGACTGAAAGCACAAAAGACTTCAGAGTGAGCTCTGGCTCTATAGTGAGATACCAGCAGGTAGAGATTATTATTACAGCTGGAAACTCTGAATTCAATCTGTTAACAAAACAAAAACAGAGTTGGATAGAAGAGTTACCCATGATGTTGTTTCTCCCACTCCCCTTTTGGAAATGAAATCTGAAAACTAGCTGTAGTGGGAGACCCTCCAAAATAAAGGGGAGCAGCCTTTCTAGGAGATGGAGCAGGATGTGAGAGTGCTTTTTTGTTTTGTTTTGTTTTGTTTTGTTTTACATCCGACTTTTGTACACTGCCCACTTTGGATTGAATTGTCCCTGCTTCCTTCATTCCCCTCCCTGCCTGATGAAGCAATGAAATGGAAATTAGATTTCTACAAGCTAAAAAAGACAAATTACTCTTTTATTTGATCAGACACTATTTGAAAACATCCTCAAGATATTTTCTTCTGTTAGCAACTTCCACTTCAACTTTGGAACTCGGCAACAAGAGCAAAAGAACAGCCGGGGAGGGGGCAGTGGGTTTGTTTCGGCTGCTACAAGGGTAGTCTTTGAGAGCCCCATGACTGTGGCTCTGAACTCTCAGGGACTCAGGGAACATAACACTGGGAAAAAGCTTCCTTAATAATCCTTCCCAATGTACCAGGCCAGAGCAGACTCCTGAATAGCAAGGAGAGCTGGCTGCCAATGGCATCCTGTAAA